CGCCGTTTCCCATGCGGCTCACGTTGCCGGCCGCGCACGGTCTGCTGCCCCGCGGTCCACGCGCCGCTCCCGCCCGCCCCGGAGACGGGGCGGGAGGGGGGGCTCGGCCGGGGCCCCCGGGGAGGGCCGAGGTCTCCTCCGCAAGTTCTGCCGCCCGCTTTGTGCCGGCGGCGGCGGCCCCCGCGAACAAAGGCGGCGGGCGGAGGGCTCGGACCCCGCCGTCCCGTCCCCGCCCGGGGAGCCGAGCGGAACTGCCGCGGCGGAAAGTTGTGCAAGGTCGGGAGCGGAGCGCACGGCCGCTGTGCTGTGAGCCCCGAGGGTTTCAAACAGCCCCCACCCCGCTCCCCCGTTTTCCTTCTTTTCTCCGTAGATTGAGTGGCTCTTAACAGACCCCGCGGCTCCCTCCTGCCCGCTCATTTACATAACACTTGGGTGGAAAATGTAGCTCTTCTTGTCGCGGAAAAACGTTATTGAAGAGTTGCTTATTTTCCACGTAAAGTATTTTGAATGTGTTTTAAAAGCCAGAAGTAGTGTTGGCTCTTCCTGTTTGTCGGAGTAGTTGCTGCTTCACGAGGCACGAAAGTGCTCTTGCTCTTACTCCAGACCTTACTGCAGGACTGGGATAGAAGGGTCTCGTTTGGGAATGGGACCGTGTTTGCTTGGGTTCTGTTTTGCTTTGCTTTTTAGCATTTCCGCCCCGTGCATAATTTCCCGCTGAGCAAAAACTGTATCAAAACTTGAAGTGTTTTAATAGAGTATCTTAACTTTCTTTTGACTGAAGAAGACAACACCTCCGTAGCTTGTCGGGGAAGAAACAATTGTGTCTGCTAGTGTTAAATTGTACTATTTGGGTATTAAAATTTATACACCAATTTGTTACATATGAGGAGGATGTACTAAAAAATGAAGAGAGTAGGCTGAATGTAGTTTATTTGATGAGACTATGTTCAGACAGAGATCCATAAATTGTAAGTCTTGTGTGGAAACTGTTGTCTGCATAAGTCCTCTCCACATCTTTCTGGAAGGCGTCTAGAAAGACTTTGAAGGGGAAGGTTGTCGGGCTTCTCATTAAAAGAACAGTGTACAGCTTGTGAACATCCTGTGGGCCAGTTGCTAGGCGCCTGCTCTCCTGCTCTTTCTTTACCAGATGCAATTGAAAGCAGAGGAAAACAAAACGTAGCAGAAATGTACACAGTTGCTGAAATATATGGGTGTGAACAGAAGGCCATACTCCAGCATTCCAGCCATGGATGCTTGCTCTGTGCTTCAGTTTGTGCTACACTTCTGAGAGCATTTACTGCCTGTTTCCCAGTTCTATACTTGTCTATTCTGCTGAGGAGACAGCCTCTGAAAACTCTAGGTGAAAACCTAGACATCAGTAGGAATTTTAAGGTAGGCAGGGCACCTGATCTTTCACAGTTTCATTTTAGACTCAGTTTGCTGCAAGTAAGAAGATTAATTTTCTTTAGCTTGAAGTCTCTCCCTATCTTAAGCTTTCTGTCATTGCTGCTGTTTTGAAAAGGGGTGTAAAATACTCAAACTCTATATTTGGTTCATTCGAAGGTTTTCTCGATCGCAGAATTTAGTGGTTAGAAAAGGAAGTTGCATTCTTTTCATGCCACAGTGTTAAGGAGATGGTAAATTCTATGCAGCATTTAATATCTACAGCAGCAAAATGACACTATGTTCTTTTTTCATGTGGTGGTTACACTTGTTTTAAGGCACTTCCTAGTCTCAAACTTAAGCCTGCCCTTTCTCCGTCATCATCCAGTTGTTAATGGCAGTCTGGTTCTGCCTCTTGATGGCAATTATGCATTCTTGTTGGTGTTCCAGGTTCATAAATATCTCAAAAAGATGTATCACTTCAAGTTTTTAAAATTATTTTTGTCAAGGTTTAGATTTTTCTTCCTACTGCAGCTTATATCTAATCAGTGTAAGTCCTTTGTTCAAGCTGAATAATTTACCAAGATAGTGGTGTCTGTTTGGAAACATAAATGTTTATCAGAAAGTATGTGATTTTCATTTGCATTTACTGTTAGAAAAGCTTTTACAACAAATAGCTTTTTAGTTTAGGAAAAGAAATCCTTTTTATCTTTAGACTTAGGCTGTAAGTAAAGTAAATTAACTTTACTTCCCCTTATGTATGCATGTGGTACTTTGCAAAAGTTTTGTTCATTACTTCAGTGGAATTTGTTGTCTGAACCAGTAAATGAAAGGAATGGTGTGTGATGTTTTAGGCCAGGCAATGTTATTAAACAGAGAGGAATGCAATTCTTCTGTCTCTTTAAAGTAAAGAGAGTTTTTAAAATTTGGAAGGTATTTAATGAACATGTTTAATCTTCTGATTATTTTTGTGAAGAGCACATGCAATGACTATATGTACATTACACTTGAAATAAAAGTAGTATAAAGACCTTTTCTGCAGAGCTGCTTCAGCCTTGTCATATGTGGACTGTACGTCAGGTAATTCTAGAAAGACATCATAAACATTGCGTGTAATTGCTCATGAAAATGCTCTTCCACAACAAAGTATTGTGCTTTAGTCAATTTGTGGAAACTGATGGATGGTTCAGTACTGAAGTGCTCTAAGTATTCACTGGATAAACAAAATCTGTTTACTGTGATCACTGCCATGGATATTAAGATAGTCTCTTGTAGCAAAGACTACAAGAGTAGTAATTGTAGTCTCTGTAGCAAAGGCTACAAAGTTTTTAGGTATTTGTCTGATGAAGACCTAGACCCACATAAGCATGGAAACTGACTTATTGTCAACAAACTTCTCGCTCTTGCTTCATGGTGGTACAGCTGCTGGTTATTGCACAGGCTCTTCTGGCTAAATCAAGCGAGGGCAGTTTAGCCCAGAGGATGTCTGCAAAGGACTGTAGGCAGCACTAGATGCTTACAGGTCCTGGTCCCAGAACACCCTTCGGGCTGCTATCAGTGTGTACTTTAGGGCTGTGCCACTTCTGTGCATTTGGCAGCCCTTAGCGGCTTCCTCTCGGGTGAACGTGTTTGGTGGCTTTGAGGGAGGAATGGACAAGTCCTTGTTTTGGAGTGACTGGTTGTGAATAAATGTGTTGTCAGGTGTATTGGGTGCCTTCTTATTCCTATGCCAGGAGAGAGGAAAAATATTAAATCCCTGTCCATTCCTCACCTGTCACAGTTTTGTATTTAGTAGAAAATGAAAGGTGGTTCTCCATCTTTCTTTTTGTAAAGATTACTGGTGAAATAATAGAGTAATCAGTTTTTGGCTACCTTCTCTGTTCAGCCAAAATCAATAAAATATAACAGCTTGATTAGGCTCTCACTTAAACATTAAACTACACGTGCTTTTCTTTTAGAGTTTTGCATATGCAAGATGTTTTTTGTCTGTAATGAATGTGAGAGGCATTGTGGCTCACTTGTGAGGGGACATTTCTATGGCAGGAAGAGGGAATTGGAGTAAATAAACTGTTGCAATGCTGTGAATCCTACCTGGGTCTTTGCAGCAGTGGTTCTGGTTAGCTACTCCAGTGTTTGTCCTGTATCAGTGTATACACTGCAGTCATGTGTTTTCTAATAGATCCTTGCTAGGTTTTTTTGTCAGTAATGTGGTCATGATTTATATCTATAAGGTCAAGTACTTCAAAAGTAAAGAATGTCAAAGTAAAATGAACTACTGCGTTCAGTTTTGTTCATGCTCACTATGGCAAAAAATGTGTTCATCTCCTCAAGACTGCTTGTTTTTGCTAAATGGACAAATCTGTGTAATTCAGGAGCTCTTCTCTGTTTTGTTTTCTCAGGGCTCTCTGAAACAATTGCAGTTATTTTTACAAGGGTGAAACAATGCATTTTTTTCTATAATGTCATGCCTAACCTACCAGCAGACATCTTTTAATTTGCTGGGACAATTGAAGATGTTACCATCAGCTAGAGGATACAACACACACAGCTGGTTGGTAAGAGGAGGCGTGTGAGATATTGTCCAAAACTAGCTTGCTTAGTTCAGGTAAGCTTTGCCTGAGTCTTGAGCTGAGGCAGTTGTCTTTGCTTTGTGCTGGAGGATGAAGTGTTGGTGTGTGCTGTTTTAGTGGTACACTTCTGGTGTGATGGTTTCAGCAGCTGTGTGCTTACAGGTAGCTGCAACAGCAAGATTTGCTCTCAAACAGTTCTTTTTTCCCATACCAAATCCCTTCAACATTATTGGTGGTGACTGTTGCACTATGAACTAATAGAATTTGTCTAGTTTTCTGACCAAACACAAATATGGCCATAAAATAGAGAAGCATGGCATCTTTTAATTAAGATATAAAACAAACAAAGAAAAAACCTCAACCAAATAAAAAAGTATGTGCTCTTTTCAGTTTTGACTGTAATTTAGAGTTATACCAGTATGATACATTTTGCAATGCAATTTACCTCAGCTTATATAAAAAAAAAACCAAAACAAAAAACCAGTTTTTCTTTAATACTCTTGTAAAAGGTCGAGTGATGTTTGGATTTTTGTAATCCAAATACATTGTTATGAAACTGATTAACATATTGATGTACCCTAGGTGTTTTGTGGGCAGGGGTCATTGGGATGTGGAGGGGAAAGGAATGGGTTTCTTGAAATTGCTTGGTCTCCAGGCTCCAGTATTGGAGAAGCCTCTTGTGGGTAGTGCCTGCTAAGCTGGCCTAGGTGAGTCTAGTTTGTCTTGTGACCTGAGACTGGATGGCTGCTTACAGCAGAGGGACAGCTCTGAGGTAATTAAGTAATGCTTCCTGTTCAAAGGCTGACTGTTCAGAGTTGTCCAAAATGTGGATATTATGAAATGCTTTTTTGCTTGAAAACCTTTCAGTGGTGCGGATGGCGTGACCTGCCTGATACTGCTCTGGAGAAGCAGCACTGGGAAGTCTTTGAGCTCTTCAGC